GATTTGAGGACATTAATTTGCAAAAGAACCACTGAGGCCATGTAAACGGCTCTGATTATCTTTATTTTGTTATTTTAAGTTTTATAAATCCTGAGATCTTTTTGTCAGTGTGTCCACGCCAGTAATAGTAATATTTCTGTCCAGTATTTGTTTCCATGGCAACACCTCCAAAAGTCGTTTCATTAAATACAGCTATGTATGAATTCAGTTGCTTTCCGTTATGTATCAATTGAAGACACGATCCAGATCACACCCAGCCAGTCAGCCACTGGTAAGGGCTGCATCTTTTTCTTACAGTGTTCAGTGAAAATATCTCAATGCATCGCAATATTTCAAGTATCGTGATGCATCGTGATAGAATCGCATCGTGACTTCTTTGCCAATACCCACCTCTAGTTCCAGTATCAGCATTAATGCCTCTAAGGTTATGTTGGACCTTAAAATGTGTTTCTTTCTCTCTGTGTTTTTCATTTTTCTTCTAGATGCAGTTTTATTATTTTTCTCGATATATTTGGAAAGTCGGCGTTTCATGTTATTATATTGACATTCATTTCTGCCCTCTAAATATCCATGTTTTAATGTTCCAAAGGTAATGAGGTCTGGTCCTGGATTTCAAAAACTCAAACAATAAGACGGCTTTTAAAATGTAGATTTTCAGAGTATTTCAGTGTGAGCCCTATGAAGGGTTAATAGACGCTCAGCTTCAGCACCAAAGTTTCCAAAGTTTCATTGATTGCTGAGCTGCACCTGATGGATGTAACGAGGTGGGATCATTGGAGCAGCTTCACTTCCTCCTGATCAGTTTGTTTGATTCGCTCGCTGCTTGTTTCCTGCAGATTGAGTTTTTCGTCTCCATCTCCGTCCGCCTGGCAGATCAAGGCCGCCATCGATCTCTCCCTCCTGTGTCCAGAGCAGTGAAGAAAAAAAAAACCCCGTCTGGGACTCGAACCCGATCAGCTGCGGATCCACAGGCCTTCTCTGCACCGTGGGTAAGTCAACCTGTAGCTGAGATTAAAAAGCAGCAGCGGGAACAAAAAGGAGCAAATAAACACGAGATGACATTTCCAAACGTGTTAAATAAAACAGCAGCCGTTTACAGCCTAATGCTCGAGAACGAGGCTCCCTGAATGTCAGCCCTGCTTAAAGTGCAACAATGGCGTCGGTTCCGATTCTCCCTGGATGAATATTTCATGGCGCTGACCTCCGTGTCGCTGCACGCCGGCGCACGTTTACGCCGGAGGCTTTCCGACGCCTTGCTCCATTTGCCGTGTTTAATGTCACAGCGGCGCCGAGCAAACAGGCCGGCGTGGAGGAAGTAAACAGAGACGACCTCTGCTTTAATTGGTATGAAAAATGCTAATGCAGCCGGAGACGAGGAGGAGGAGCTTAACACGGCGAGAAGGAAGGACAGCAGCACCTGGAGGGAAGAGAACATCTGTGGAGAGGAGGACAAAGATGTATGGAGGGATTCTAGTTCCATTATTGTTTTATAGAGATAATTCAACCAGATCATCCAG